ATTTTTTTTACGCATTAAATTTTTTTAAATTATTCGCATGCGTTAACGCACTAATTTTGACAGCTATAAATATTTTATATATATATATATATATATATATATATATATATATATATACATATATATATAGTGCACTAATATTTACACTAGTGGTGGGCCGTTATCTGCGTTAATGTGCTGCGTTAATGCGAGACTCTTATCGCGCAATAAAAAAAATATCGGCGTTAATCTATTCTCAAAGTTGGGTTGGGAGCTGGGTCTATTCTAAGCTATGATAACTTTCACCTTGATATTTTAGCACCGATGTTCAGTGAGCTGGTGAGCTGTCTGACAAAATAGTGCCCTTCTGAATCAAATCAGCAGGATGCCTGATTTTAACTGCAATTCGGCAGTTTCACTTTAAAGGGCACATAGTTTACCCCTTTTTTATGATTTAATATTAGTATTAAGGTTCTTCTGAGTGTGCCAATTTAGGTTCAGTTTAAAACACAGTTTAGATTTTTTTATTATAATGTGTTAAAAAGTGTCAGGTTGGGGGCGTGTACACAGCTCGCTGTTTAAGGGGCGCGTTTGACGTATGTTTCACATGAAAACTAGTTTCGGCTTCCCGTCCAACTTAACAAGGGGGTGGAGCCAAGAGCTGTGTTTGCAACAGACAGGCTGACTGAGAGAAGGAGCAGGAGTGAAAGGATCAGCTTTCAGTCGTACATGTACGACTCAGACACAGACCAAGCAGAGAGTACAAAATCATTTGTGTCTTTGTATAGCTTTACAGCCAATTGTGTGCTAGTTTCAAGTGCCGAGCTTGTAGACCGACACTAATAACCACACACACTGAATTAACTTTGACTGAGGCACCGGATTTACAGCTCGAAGCCACGACATGGCACACCAGACACTCTCTGTGGCGCCACAGATACATAAAGTGTCCCGAATCGTCGCGTCACACATTTTAGAACTTTAAACACAGGTTTCCATCAGGGCACACACAACGACACCCCCGCAGCTGACTTGAAGAGCCGCCGCGGGCACCCTGACAGAAACCCACACAAAGAATTCCAATGCATGGCGGAGCTTCTGATGTGTGACCTGCAGGCAAGTTTGTTATTTCATTTCCAACGGAGAGACATGCACATGAGGCAACACTCTTGCACTTTTCCAGCTGCACCTTGTAAGGATCACAGGAAGCTTCTGTGACCGTGAGAAACGCAAACAGCTAAAGTTTAAGGTAGACGCAATAAAAAGTTTACATGTTTGCAAACCTACTTAAAGGCACAACCAATAATTCAGATTAAAGCGATAATGTGGAGAATATTGATCTTGTGTTGAGCCCAATGAGTCTTGCATCTAAAAATAGAGAAAGGATGTTCCTTTAGTGATATAGCTGATACTTACGCTGAAAATGGCGAATGTGAAATGACAAACTGAGGTTTAGGTGACGCGTGCCTGTCAATCAATATTGGTGGGCGATTGGATGAACCACCAACTTATCCAGCAAGTTTTTACACAACGGATGCCCTTCCAGCCGCAACCCATCTCTGGGAAAGCCCTTTAACTCATGACTATATAATTCATGCCACCGTGACAAACTGGAGCATTAGATGCAAATAAGAAGTAAGGACTGTTGAGAGTGTTATAAAATGTAACACTGCACGCCAAATGGAAAGCAAAAAAAGTTTCACATTTTGAGATGTGTGTGATTTACTAACAGCCGCATGTGTGGATCTTGTTGGAAAATATTGCAAAAAGTCATCACAGTAATAGTTTGATTGCGGCGTTTACTTCATTAATTCCACTTATATATGCAAACGCAACATGTCTTAAATCCATTTCTGTTTAGTTCAGTTATGACTTAAGTCAGATTAAGGTCATCAAAAATCAAAATTTCGAGCTTATTTAGACCTACAGTTCAAAATTCCTGTTTAACTGAATAAACAGTTAGTATACACAAGTACATCTTATTGAACAATTTATTTTCATCACCATTTAACATAGTAGAACAGTTTCTTAAGCAGTTTGTGATGCCTTTTGGAAATAGGAGATGAGCTCCTGGTCTAATGTGCCACCTGGCTTGAGAAACCCGTTCTTATTATTTGGGTAGCACACATATTCTAAATGTCTTTGGCAGAATTCAAATGAGCCATTTTAATCTATATTAATTCTGAGATTAATCTAGATTAAAAAAGTAATCTATGTTCACTTATAACATATAGCAGCTGCCCAAGGCAGTAAGCGAACCCCCCCGGTCTTCACTTTCATCCGCTAACCGGTCACTTTCGGGTTGAGGGCGACTTAATTGCTGTTTGCCTAGAGTGCCAGTTCAGCTTCCTCTGGCCCTGCATGTGTTTAATGTGCAAAGAAATTTGGATAACACCAAGGACACGCTTTTAGAAGGAAAGTTTCAGTAAAAAACAATTAATATTGCATCACCAGGCTATCCTATGTTTCCTCCAGAGTTTCATGCAATTTCGGGTGTTTCATTTTTAGTCTTTAGACTTTAACTGCAGTTCAGCAGTTCACTCTTACACAGCATATTTTCATTTAGGATGTTTTAATGGAATTTGTTACCTCATGGCGAACAAAGATAAACCTCTGCATTTCGGGACTCGCATTATTCTTTTAGGTAATCAAAAATGGCTGCTTATGGTGGACCCTAATCAGTGTTATCTTAATCATAAAAGTCGAGTATTGGTGTTAATGTAAATGTTCTGTAGTGAAAGTGGCAGATGTCATCCCAAGCTGTCAAAGACAGCCTTAGTCTCTGCCTAAGAACTGCTTAATGAGAATCCTTGCTTGTAAAATACAGCCATACTTTGGAATGCTTAGTTTAAAGAGCCCATATTATGGGTTTTTGAAAATGCCCTTCCATGTAGTGTGTAACACAGCTCTAAGTGAAGTGAAATATCCAGCTAAGGCTTAAATCTGTAAGTGTACAGTGTTTAAAACTGTTGATTCATCTATAAAAGAGTCGACTCACAGTGCTTCAAACGAGTAGTCTTGATAACGAGTCATTAGGTGTTTCGCAATGATGTGATAACGAAACCAATTAGTTGCGCATGCAAACCCAGGAGATTTGAAACCTACGGCCTCGCCCTCTAACACAGAAAAAGGCCACACACACATACACACGCACAGACACACATACACACACGCGCGAGTCAAATGAAGTCGCAAAGTGCAGATGGATATAATTGAGTCTCTACCCAAAGATGAAACCTCAGCATTATAGCCCAGCCTTGAGCAGTTTGAGTGTTTCTGGAAACTACATGCTACAAAGAAGACTTCTTCGGCCATTTGTTAAAGGAAGGATCAGTAAAGACTACCGATGGACTATGTCAGAACCTGGATCGGTTTCTTCCTCCATTTCTCAAGTGTAAGTATATGTGATTAAATTTGTTACCTCGTTTACTCTAGCTTGCAAATGCATTTAGTTGTGATTTGTTACTTATAACAGTGAGGTGTTAATGTGTCTCTGTGTCGAGTTTCTTCGCTGGTATTTTGTTTTTTCTGAACACTTCCTGGATGTAAAAGTAGCCCAAACTCGCTCATTTTAAGGTAGGAACCGGCGGACGTGCAACAACTTTAACCATGAGGTAAACCCAAAACAAAACTCTCCATCAGGAGCTTCTTAACGGGACTCCACACTTGTAAACAATCGCTCCATCGGGCTCGCGCCGCTCACGCAGCTCTCTTTGCTGCCAAGACTCGTTAGCGCTACAAAGCCAACAAATCACAGAGCTTGCGCTATGCGTCATTGTGACGTGTAGTTACATTGTTTGAGAAGTGCACTTCAGTGTCGTGGACAGCCATTGTGTGGGGCTATGCGTCAACGCGTAGGCTGCACCATATTGTACGCGTGCGCTTGACGCAGAAGTATAAATCAGCCTTAATGTGTGTGTGTGCGTTGTTGTCCGAGGAGGAGGGTTATGTGTGTGTTTGTGTAAGTGTGTGCGTTGTCTTCCAAAGACGAGGGTTATGTGTGTGTGTGTATGTGTTTGTGTGTGTGGGTGTGTATGCGCGTGTGTGTGTGTTTGTGTGTGCGCACGTTGTCGTCAAAGGAGGAGGGAAATCTGTGTGTGTGTGTGTGTGTGTGTGTGTGTGCGTGTGTGGGTGCGAAAAGAGCAAAGCGTGAAAAGTTAGGAGATCTCCTCGCCAGTTCTTGGAGTTTGTATTTACATTCACCCACTGGCAGCCAAAATCAACGCTTTACACTATGAAGCGTGAATGCACTGTGACTACTTTTATATTGTTGATTTGCTGCTGGGCATTTCACTCTGTCTCGCGCTGAAGGCAGTCGGTGTCGACCAATCGCAACAGACTGTCATCGGTCCAATCAGATTAGCTTTGCGCTAAGGAGGGGTTTGGGAACAAACTAATCACTGGAAGATTCATATGGGAGTCGCTGGGATATATAATATGGGCTCTTTAAGCAAAATTGATGAAAGCAATCGTGCATGTTGATGAATCTGAAGGGATCCCTCGCTCACCGGGTCCGCTGTCCTGTGTGCGTTTTGTGTGTGTGTGTGTGTGTGTGTGTGTGTGTGTGTGTGTGTGTGTGTTTGTAGTCCACTTAGAATCCAACATGGAGAACATTTTTGTTTGTTTTTGGTATTCATTGTTTTGAAAATCAAATGGCACTTAAATGCCTGTGTTTTTATTTCTGTATTTTTTTTTTTTATTAATTACATAAATTCTTTAAATCATTTGACAGCCTTAATATATATATATATATATATATATATGTCACATACACTCATACACTACAGCCAATTTAGTTCATTCAGTTCACCTAGCACATTTGTTTGGACTGTGGGGGAAACCGGAGCACCCAGAGGAAACCCACACAAACAGGAGAAGAGAATCTACACTGCATTATGATCCTTTGAAACAACTGGAATTAAACATGTTTATAAGTACCTGAATCAAATCAGCCCCTGCTCTTATTATGCTCTCACTCATTAAGGTGTGTAAGCTTGTCTGTAAGAGAGAGAATATCCCACCTGAATGCCTCTATCAGTCTCTCCACTTTCTGTGCTTCTCCCTGCACACGGATATGAGCCTGAAACTTCCTCAAAGCCTCATCCAGCTCCATCCCAGAGAAATCCATCTCGTCCACCACACAGCTAGCAGAAAAAAGAAAAAAAACAGAAGAAGAGAGTGGAAGAAAAATAAGCTATTAAAGCAAACACATAAGATTAGAAGAAGGTTCCACAGGTTGTCAGACTGGGAGTAAATTGCTGGTCAATGGATAACAGAGGCTTGACCTGCTCCTCTTTGAAAGATTTTTGAATTGCTTTATTGATTGTAAATAGCATACATTTAATTAAATAATTTGGTTTGCTGAAGGTCATAAATGAGACTTCATACAAACTTGCACTTATAGCTAGTAACTCATATAACTCATACTTGTACTCTCTTACATGTGTCATACAGTATATTTACTTACTCACGTCTAACACCTTTATAATGTATTGTAATTTGTTTTGTGCCCCCCCCCCCATTTCAATTTGTTGTGCTTTTGATGTTTGTGTCATTTAGCCTGCACATCTATACTGTACATATCAAACATTGTATACACAGACCATATTCAGCATATTTCAATGCCCCAAGCAGTAGGCTATTACAAATCACTAAATCAAAGAATAGCAAAAGCCTATGAATTTAAAGGACAATATTTGAAGTACCTGAGTAAAAGCACAGAATTCACCAAAACAATAAAATCTTTTATGTTTACAGTTGAGAAGTGCAACCGCATCGGTGACACTTTAGAATAACTATCCGTTATAACTAGTTAGTAGGCCATTAATAAACTGTAAGTTAATGAGTTATAAATAACCAAATAAATAATTCAAATTTTAGTTAAATAATAGTTAATATTTTGTTAATTATTTATAATTGTGCCTTATAGATAGCCAATAGATAACTTACAAGCTGTTAGCTACCAAGCTGTTAATGACTTGTTAACCTTATTTTAATAATTTATAACTATACATAATAAATTAGTAATAGATCATAAACAAACTGTTGATTACTCACTAAAGACTTGTTAAGTGTCAGTTAATAGTTTATATTTGTTATTGGGACATTATTTTAGTTGCAACTATTCTTCATTTATTAAATGTTAGCAAATAAGGAATAGTTGCAACTTTAGAATAATGTCCCAATAACATACTTAAGCTAATAACTAACACTTAACTATTATATTAACTCACACTTTACGAATCAGTTGTTTATAGTTTGTGTACCATCTAATAACACCAGAGGAAATTTTGTTAAACTTTTACAATGAAATAAATTTTTATTTATTTTGTTTTTCTCATGGGTTTGAATTTTTTTGTATACTGCTGTTCTGCCATTTGATGGCTCAGTTTGTGTGCTTCTATACATTAATCACAATGTTCAACATTAATTTTTGGAGTTTCTTAAGTAAATTACACATCAAATTTCTGTAGCTTGAACTTGTTCCATCCATTTGCTGTTCTACAAAGTTTCACTGGTATTAGTAGATGGTTAACAAACTGAGCAACTGATCTGTAACGTGTGAGTTAATATATTAGTTAAGTGTATATTTTTAGCTTATGTATGTTATTGGGACGCTATTCTAAATTTGCTACTATTCTATATTTACTGACAGTTAATCAATGATGAATAGTTGCAACTTTAGAATAACGTTCCAAAAACATAAATAAACTATTGACGGATACTTTAAAAAGTCTCAAGTAAGTATGGACAGCCTATTCATGATCTATTACGAATTCATTTTATATAGTTATAAATCAACAAGTTATTTTTACCTTGTTAGCTAACAACTTGTAAGTTATCTATTGGCTATATTTATAAGGCACTGTTATAAATAATTAAACTACTAACTAGTATTTAACAAGCCATTTATAACCCATTAACTAACAGTTTAGTATTGATCTATTAACTTTATAGTGGATCGTTATTCTAAAGTGTTACCACAGTTTATAAACCTCACATAAATTCCACTTTATAAAAGTACACACACACACACACACACACACACACACACACACACACACACACACACACACACACACACACACACACACACACACACACTTTATCCTATGCAAATGAAAAGCTCTGCAGTTTGCACATTCTAAGTACTCTTTTATGTTATTATACTAGTGTTATGAATTCTAGTATAATTTTCATATATACTCACTCTAAAACATCTCTGTTAAATGGCTTCTTGCTATTGCCAAGAAATTCTCCAATCATCTGTCGGCTCAGTCCTTTTCTCTGGAGTAGGAAATGTGCAACACCTATAGGTGTATCCGGGATGAAGCCACGAGAGATAAGAAACTGAAGACCCTTGTCTGGATTTCTGTTTAATTCACAGCAAAAGGAGGAGGCAGAGGAAGGAGAGACAGAAACAATAATTAGATAATTAACAATAAGTAGGTTATTAATTAGCTACAACAATTTGATTTGAGAATTTAGGTCCAGCTTGCTTGTTTAGGCAAGTATTGATACAGTATTAAAACATTCATTAATTCATTAAAAAAAAAATTCACTTCACTTATTGTGTGCTAAATAAATAAAGAAAGAAAGAAAGAAAGAAACTAACTTTAAACATATTGCATAAATTTTATTTTATTGAGTATTTACATGTATGCAATTATGCATGGTGGTGGTTGTTCACTAACAGTATCTAAAGGGCACCAACAACGAAAATGATCTTTTGTAAGCTGTTTGGACAAAACTGTGTAGGTATAACATGTCCACAGTCATACTAGAGTGATAGAAACACATTAAGTCTATTTTTTTTTCTGACGTTAAAATTAGCATCCAAATCCTTCCCATTTTGAGGCCCACCGCAATGTAATGTAGGAGTGTGGTTTCCCCGCCCACTGAATTGATTGACAGATGTGTATTAACATGTCTCCATAGTAACGCATATAATCTTTTCCACAAGACAGGTCATGCTTAAAGCAACTTAAGAAAAAACGGTCTCTTCAGCTTTATGTGATTAGCAGCAACTGAAAAATGACTTTAACAAGTTTCAAAAGTCTCTAAAACAGTCATGTTTATAATAAGGACGGTAGAATTGCATCATAACTCTTACCACAGCCATATGTTTAGTACAACAATTATTAAAAAAACGAGGCTTAAAATCCCAGTTCATTGATTTAAATCAGGTTTATTTTGTACATTAACATAACGGATATTCATCCAGCAGTATACATTACCATGGCTTATTTCACTGGATTAGAATATTATTAGAAACATTTGGTATAATTTAAATACATTAGTAATATATTTTTTTTCTTTTAAATATTTTAAAGACGTCTGACATATTATGTCTGTAAGTTCTTATTAAAATCTAATGAATAATAGGGTGGTTCAGTGGATAAAGGTGATATATTATGCACAAGCCGGCAGTATTCTCTTACAGATCCATGCGAGAAAGATGTTGACATTGTCACACTCCTACGTCAAGTTCCACTCGCTCTGAAAACCGCTTCAATTAGTCCACCGTTTTTATGTTGTTAAATTGAAAAAAAAGGACTGTTTGTGTTTATATAACCCCAATATGACGGTCTATACACTATACTTATACACGTCTGCCCAAGCTGATTAAAAAGTAGATTTTTCACCATAAGTGCCCTTTAATAGCATGTATAAGAAAACATACCCCAGTAACATATTTGAGATTGCAAAAATATAAGACCTAATGGATTTTTTAAAAACAAAAACTGCAAGCTCATGTAATCCAGGGTACGATATTTTCGATTCTCAAAAACCTTTCCCTCGGCACATACTTCCAATGAGCCTGGGTTGTAGAATGTACACTGTGTAGAGACATGATCAGTCATAACACATTATGTGATGGAACACTTCTATTCACATGGGCTTCAGCATCAAAGCTTGACAAAGGGAGTATCTAAAGTTGGATCTAACGCGATCGTCATAGCAGTGACAACCATTGAAATTAGTCAGCAATCAGCTACTGTCGTAGCTGATTTATTTACATACAGCAATCTGATTGGCTGACGCTTCCCTCGGCACTTGAAAAGTTGAGAAAGTGCCAACTTCTGCAGCAGAGCAACACTTCTGATGGTTCCACAATGCAGTTCGGCCAAGCCTTACGTCAACCATTCAAAGTGATGGGAAGCATTGACGCGGAATCCCCGCGTAAGAAGATATGAATATTTTAATCAGCTGGGTAAAATAAGAGAAACATGGAAAGTATGCTGATGTGTGAGGACAAAGTTTGAGAAACGCTAGTTTAGAACATTTGCTGTGCAAACTGGATGGAATGATGTCACTTTAATGGAGTTTATCCAAACTGTCTTGCAAGGGTGAGGACCTATCTTTGTGTAATGAATTTAGCTCAGGAAATCTAAAACAATTTAGCTCAGGGTCAAGTGTTTATTCATCCAAATAATCGGGTTATATAAAAAAATAAAAAAACTTCCTAAATAATACCGCACAGAACATGTATCAAAAATTAGTATGAATAGGTACTCCAGTTGAGCAAACAATGAACAACTTTAAGTGTTAAATAAATACAAGTCTTTATTACTACAGTGAATGCTTTGAAGGAGTGGAGTTTCTGATGAATGTTCAGAATATCCTTTATAAATGTCTTTATCATTATTAATAAAGTTTAATGTTTAAGGACCTAGACTATATGATGAACTAAGTATCATCGTTCTTTAGTGTAAAACTGAAATGGACCAGTGATGTGTCAGTGGTCTCTGTATTAGTCTGCTATGTTTTTACTACCACTTTTCATAAAATAGCAGAGCACAGGAACAAAATTAAACACATCACCCTATCACACTTTATACAATGCTAATTGTACTACTGTATAGACAATGTGTTGTTTACCTCTGGCCAGACAAAACCAGCAGTTTAGGCTGCAGTCAAACATAAAATAGTTATTAGGAAACCCATTTATTTTACAGTACATTTTAGTTGTCCGATTAAAATAATTTAGAATATTCCATTGCTTAATAATGGAGACAGAAATGTAAAACATTTAATAAGTAAAATATTTAAGAAAAAGAAGTCTAACAGCAAAGATTGGAAATAAAGGAAAACATCCCAAGTCAACATACAAACTTTAAAAAAAATCTTAAAATAGCTAAATATCTTCTTAAAATAAATCTTTGATTTGGTAGGCCCGCTGAATGAATAGTAATCATACTGATGTTGTGGACGGGTACCCAATACACTCCACAAAATGGGAGTTGTTCAGTTATGTAATTTAGTTTTTTTTTTTTTTTTTTTTTAAAGGCAACTGATGCTTGTAAACCATTCAATAACTGAATAAATAGTTTGATTTTTTTTTATTTAATGTAATAGCCAATAAAAATACCATATTAAATGCATTCATTTATTTTCTTTTTCGTCTTAGTCTCTTTATTGATCTAGGGGGCCTCAGCGGAATGAACCACCAACTTATCCAGCATATGTTTTATGCAGCGGATGCCCTTCCAGCTGCAACCCATCTCTGGAAAACAACCAAGCACAATCATTCACTACGGACAGTTTAGCCTACCCAATTCACCTGTACCGCATGTCTTTGGACTGTGGGGTAAACCGGAGCACCTGGAAGATACCCACGCCAACGCAGCGAGAACATGCAAACTCCACACAGAAACGCCAACTGACCCAGCCAAAGCTCGAACCAGCAACCTTCTTAATATAAGGAAAAAGCCACTGCGTCGCCCACTATATTAAATCCAATACATAAAATATTTTAACTTAAATAATTCCAACATTTACAAAACAGAGTTCGTCAAAGTATATTACTCTCTCTCGTAAAGGCAACTGTAGTCATTTTTAAAGTGTACTTTTAAATATTAATTTACTTTTATATTAAAGATCACTGTTTTTTGTTTTGTGCAATTTGTTATTTGTAGTCTCATAAGGGTGTGTTATTGGGACAGCATACTACACCGATGGAAGAGGAGTAAATCAGACATAATTTATTGAAAAAAAAAATTACTGTTATACCCTCGTTCACTGAAGGAGGGAATGAAAAGTTAAATGGATGAAGCCAATCAGACATAATTATTTTGCTTTATTCAACAAATAATACATCATTAACCTCCCCTACACTGTAAAAAGTAATTTTGAGGCATTGTAGATTTCATTAAATTTATTATGTACACTTCAATTAATGAAATTGATTTCCTGATTTTAGGGAATTTTTGAGCTTTGAAATTACTTAATGTCTGTAATAAAATACAATCAATTTTATCATAAGAATTTTGCTATTATTTTTGAATCATTTTTAAAAGTAAAAAATATTGATTAAATTCAATGTGATTAAAATGAGCATTTTCAAATTAGCCAGGGGCATAAGTCAGGGACAAATGTCAGAGTGTCTGAGGATAGCTGAGGATAGGCTGCCCTCACTGGATACACAAGCGATGAGTGCCCGACATGACCTGGAGGTGGACATTTTCACATTTGTCAAATTCCATTTTAAAATACGCACTACATTTAAAAATAAACCACATATTTTAGTTTTAAACAACTATGCTTTCGTATGAACAGAAATTTTTGCCCATTCCTCTTTGCAGTACCTCTCAAGCTCTATCAGGCTGGCTGGGAAGCAACTGTGTAAAGCCATTTTCAGATTTCTCCAGGGATGTTTAAAAGCATTTAGGTCTGAGCACTGGCTGGGCCACTCAAGGACTCCAATACGGAGGAGTGGCTTTCATCTGGCCACTCTACCACACAGGCCTGATTAGTGTATTGCTGCACAGATGTTTGTCCTTCTGTAAGGTTCTCCTCTCTTCACAGAAGAAGAATGGAGCTCAGACAGAGTGACCATGGGGTTAATGATCACGTCCCTGACTAAGGCCCTTCTCCCTTGATCACTCAGCTTAGATGGTAGGCCAGCTCTTCGAAGATTCCTGGTGGTTCCAAACATCTCCCCTTTACAGATGGAAGCCAATGTGCTCATTGGAACTTTCAGAGCAGCAGAAAATTCTGTAACCTTCGCCAGCTTTGTGCCTCGAGACAATCCAGTCTCTGAAGTCTACAGACAATTCCCTTGTCTTCATGCTTTCTCATGCACAGTCAACCCTGGGACCTTTTATAGACAGATGTATGTATGCCTTTTCAAATCATGTCCAATCAACTGAATTTACCACAGGTCAACTCCAATTAAGCTGCTAGAACAGGGGTCACCAACCCTGTTCCTGGAGAGCTACCTTTCTGCAGAATTCAGTCCCAACCCTGATCAAACACACCTGAACCAATTAATAGTACCTAAAGCAGCACTTGATAATTACAAACAGGTGTGTTTGGTCAGGGTTACAACTGAAATGTGCAGGAAGGTAGCTCTCCAGGAACAGGGTTGGTGACCCCAGTGCTAGAACATCTTCAAGAATGATCAGTGAAAACAATGTATCTGAGCTCAATTTAGAGAGCTATTAATAACAGTCAGTCAGCGCCCGCACTTTTTTTTTCTGTATCATTGCACCTTTTGCTGTCTGAAGTGTATATGCGGACATCGGAAAAGAGTCATTTTTAAAAGATGATCCAAGCGTCTCAGCAAAAAAAAAAAAAAAAAAAGAAAAGAAGAAATTTCATTCCGAGCTAAAAACAAACATGAATAAATTCTAATAAATAACAGATTTTTTTTTTAAGCACTAAAAAAAGGCTTACATTCATCAGATTCTGTCATTGGGCTGATAGAATAGAACCCTACATATTTATTTATTTCTGGAGGTTTACGAAGAGTTTTTTTTTTTTTAAATCTTTCAGTTGTAACTTCTCAGCAAAACATGCTCTGTAGCTTCTAACAGTCATGGTTAGGGGCAGTACTTTGTGACTTCACACACTAATGTTTCTTCAAAACAGTAAAGTCAGTATTATGTGCCTTTTAGTGAAAGCAATGCTAATAATAGGGACTTAGACAAATATATTAGTTGACAGGCAACAGGGAGGGGGTGTTAACTACAGCTGGAGACAAAAATGGAAAAAAGAAAAGCTGGAATGTGATGATGTTTTGAGACCAGCCCTTTTGCAGCTATATTATGGTTGTTGAGGAATGCTTGTTAAAAAGGCAAGAAACTTTGTTTTATATAATATAATATAATATCTGCCATTAGCCATTTCTGTGAGCAAAACAAAGAACTTATCATTGGATACTCACATGTTGAAGAGATTGAGACCAATGCGGTATAAGCGTTTCCGCATGATGTCAGTAGAGAGGGTTGGAGATTTGCAACTGGTTGGGTTTTCGCAATGGTATCGGGGCAAGCTAAGAATCATGGCCTGTAAAGCCTCTTTCGATGAGACCTCTGAAGCAGACTGTGCTGATGTTGATGTACTGCTGCTACTCATCTGCTCCGAACTGTTGTCTGCTGTGTCTGATTCAATATGCTTAGCTTCCAGAACTTCTACAATTGGTGTGACAGGCGTCTCTGCAACCTCTGGTGGAGACAAGGTTTCAGAGGTTATTGCTGTCTGTGCTGGAATTGTTGGTTGTGGAACTTCCTGTTTCTCCAGCTCCAGAGGTAGTACATCTTCCCCGAGCACCTCCTCACTTGGTGGAGGAGCTGGAAAATCTCCATCTGGAACTTCCTCAGCATCCTGCTCTAGTGGTGGAGAAACTGGATCCTCTAGAAATGTTGATGGTTGTCTTTGTTGAGGTTGTTCCTTTACATCATTAATTTTAGGTTGCTGTGGGCTCTCAGTAATTATAGCCCCCTGCTGGATGCAATTACCAAGAGACACGGAAGTTGAGGACTCCATAACAGAAGAGGACATACGAAAGTTCTGGCTGTCAATTTGAACGGTCACATCCCGGAAGGCCATCATCAATTTGCTGGCACTCTGGGCTACATTCTCCAAGCTGTCTACTTGTCCTGTGCCACTATGAAATGTGGAAGGGTCCATGGGGCTACCTTTTTTTACTGTTTCTGCCAACCCAGATTTGCCACCAGCTGTACTAAAAGCCTCTGAGCTAAACTGGTAGGTGCCTCCTTCTTGGAGTGAACACATGGTCTTCATGCTCCAATTGCTAAGTGCATCATCAATGGATTTTGCAAGAGACTGCACTTGCTCATTGAAGGAATCTTCAAGATCAGTGAGAGTGCCCCCTACCGTGGTTGGCAAAGATGGGGAGCGGACAAGGGGAATGCTTGTCAGATTGCAGCCTTCAGCCAGTGCCCGTTCAGCTGAGATACCCTCTGTATTCTGCACCCGTACCTTTCGCAGGGAGATACGGCGAGGCAAGCGACTTTCAAGAAGGGAATTTCGAATTTTCTCAAAGTTTTTGCTAAGCTGATACTGGCGAAAGGCAGTCTGAATCTTGCAAGCAGCTCGTCGAGAGATTAGGTGACCCCCATATTTGTGCTCTAACATTTCGATCTGCAAAGACAGATATGAGAAACCATATCAGATAAGACAAAATGGACAAGCATAAAAAATGAGCAGGATAACAATAAATAAATATCAAGAACTACTACATATGGTTAAAAACAATCATAACATGCTAAAACAAACACTTTTTCCAAGCAGAGATGTTTATTAAATTTTGCCAATAAATGTCAAAACACAAAAATGAAAGCAAAATGCCAAGATTAAGTTTTAGGTAGGTGTAGTTCCAGGTAGTCAATCAGACTTTTTGTATATAGTTTGGACATAATGATGATGACGACAATGATGACGATGATTGTCTTTGCCTGTCACCTTCTATCCATTCTTTTACTTGCCAAATCATCTGTCTTATGTAGATTCATAAAAACTCTAGAGTCTGTACAATCATTGAGGACATTGGCAATAAAACTGTCTGGATGGAGAGTCCATAACATGGCTTTTGAAACTGAGATGACAAAGGTATGCAATGTAACATTTAATGAATGGGGCAGATATGTACTGTCACTAGGAACAAATTAGGGCCTGCAAGATTCTCCAATAACTTTATTATCTCACCCACTGATCATTGTCTAATACAGGGGTTCTTAAACTTTTCAGCCCACGACCCCTAAATAACAACTTCAGTAACTCACCACTATGCCTTGAGGTGGTTATAAACAAACAAATATTGCACACAATGGTGCACACACCAAAAAGAACTATATAAATACAAGCATATTGAAACACAAAAAAGTGCAGCAGTCGAACAACCATATACTTTTTAGTGTTATGTCTCTGGTGTTAAATGTCTAGAAGTTGGAGCAACAGTGAAAAGTTTTAAAGTTGGTTAAGGCGAGTATGGATCAGTGCCCTGCCTTCACATCAACACACAAAATTCAGTTGCAGAATTTATTAACAAAAATGTACAATGATAAAACAAAACTGGGCTTCAGAAGGGAGAAAGGCTAAAACAAACAAACAAAAAGAACACTTTAGCTAGTTAGGGAGTAAAATGATCTAAACTGACAAAGTAAACTTAAATTAACAACATAAGTGTACACTAACTCCCTAACTAAACATAAACAAGAGAAAAGGGGTTTTAGAAATATGGCACTCACCTACATACAGCTTTTAAACACAATGTTACGTTTCAAAGGCAGAGTTTAAGTGGTTTCAATTACTTTACAATAGATTTGAACTTTAATAAGTTAACCACAACAGCGACAATAATCTTTTACAACAAAACCAGGTAAGAGAGAGACGACAATATAGTAGCAAGCTTTAATGTGGCTGGCAACTGATCAGCTTTTAGGGCTTAAAAAGCAACGAGCAGCAGGTGCAATTAATCAATTTCCTCTCCTCTAAACCTAGTTGACAAACAGGTAACAGATAACAGAAAGAGAGAGAGAGAGAGAGAGAGAGAGAGAGAGAGAGAGAGAGAGCCCAAACACAACAATACATTCAAAACACAATGGAATGTAACAATAGTCATTATTAATTTATGTAATTAAATATTACCATAGAATGGTGGACGCAATGTTTACATCACAAGACTGATCTTATAATATTGGAGATCATCCTCCATGTTTAATAGTGGGCTTTATTTTTAATGTATGTGACTGCCATAAAGGTGTTATAATATGGAGTACGTTTACATGGACACCAATAATTAGATTTTAATGAGATTATGACAATTCTATAATTAAGAGTCTACCATGTAAACAGCGATTTTTGATTAATCTGATTAAGGTCATAATCGAACTAAAGAGAAATTGAATTAAGACATGTATGCCAATTTTTGTTACATTATTGAAGTGCAGTACAGATAAGTAAACACCTTAGTAGACATCAAACTATTACTGTCATGTAGGAATTTTCGCCGTGTTTTGCAACAGGATAGTCCACACCCACACACACACACACACACACATACACACACACACACACACACACACACACACACACACACACACACGGCTGTTTGACACTCTTTGCACCTACAGAGTCTTGAAGACTATAGACACCTGCATCGTAAAATGCTTAGGTTTTTTTTTTCTCCCATTCAGCATGCGGTATGAACTTTCATTAAAACAATACTCTTCCAGGAGTTCATAGTTGCATCCAATATCTTGTTTGTCAAGGGAGGTATGCATGAAATGTTCCCAAATAAAAGTGAAAGTGCCAAACGGCAGTTAAAGTCGACAAATTAAAACTAAAACAATCAAAATTACATGAAACTCTGAAGTAAACGTGGATAGCATGGTGACTCAATGACGTTAATCGAATTATGCACTATAACATGTAAAACAGGATCATGAAAAGGAACATTTAAAAAGCAATGTTCCTAATGTAAACACCTTAATCATATTGTTGTCTTAATTAGATTAAGGCAAAAATTTGATTACTGATGTTCATTTAAACTTAGTCATTCATTCATTCATTTTTTTTGTCGGCTTAGTCGCCTAATTAATCCAAGGTCTACACTGTAAAACTACACTGTAAAAAATAAACGTTATTTTACAGGTAATTGTCTGTATTTTTTTACAGAATTTTTCAGTTTTTTCATTATACAGTGAAATACCTGTTGTTTTACAGATATGTTCTGTAATAAAAAAACCTTACATTAAATTTACAGTTATTGCTTGTATTTTGGTATTACATTCTTTTTCTGTTTTTTAAAGGAAATGTACTGTATTTTAAAAGAGTAACACGTAATTTTACGTTAATATTTACAGATTATTCCTGTAAAAATAAACTGTGAAAATAAATGTTATTTTACAGATAATTGTCTGTATTTTTTACAGAATTTTCCTGTTTTTTCATTATACAGTGAAATATATTTTTTTTACAGATATTTTCTGTATTTAAAAATTCCAACATTTAATTTACAGATAATTGTTAGTATTTTGGTATTACATGTTTTTTCAGGTGGCGCAGTGGGTAGCACGATTGCCTCACAAGAAGGTCGCTGGTTCGAGCCTCGGCTGGGTCAGTTGTCATTTGCATGTTCTACCCGTGTATGCGTGGGTTTCCTTCAGGTGCTCCGGTTTCCCCCACAGTACAAAGACATACGGTACAGGTGAATTGGGTAGGCTAAATTGTCCGTAGTGTATGAGTGTGTGTGAATGAGTGTATATGGATCTTTCCCAGTGATGGGTTGCAGCTGAACGGGCATCCGCTGTGTAAAACATATGCTGGATGAGTTGACAGTTCATTCCGCTGTGGCGACCCCTGATTATTAAAGGGACTAAGCCGAAGAGAAAATGAATGAATGAATGAATGAATGTTAATCATGGGTCGCCACAGCGGAATAAAACATCAATTTGTACAGCATAAGTTTTCACGCAGCAGATGTCCTTCCAGCTGCAACCCATCACTGGGAACACCCATACACACTCATTCACACACATACACTATAGACAATTTAGCCTACCCAATTCACCTATAGCACATGTCTATGGACTGTGTGTGAACCGGAGCACCCGGAGGAAACCCACGCCAACACGGGGAGAACGTGCAAACTCCACACAGAAATGACCACTGACCCAGCCGAGGCTCGAACCAGTGACCTTCTTGTTGTGAGGCGACAATGCTATACCCACTGTGCCTTGCACATATCTGTTTTTGAAAATAAACTTTTCAAATTCTATTTAGAAGATGACTAGTTTACAATAAGAAAATACCTGAAAATAAGTACAAAAACAAGTACAGTAGCCTATAGTAGTCCAATTATCACACCATTGGCAAATTAGACTGTACAGCACTACAATGCACAAATGGAGTAAAATTGCAGTTTACCTTTTACTATAGTTTTACTTTAATGTACTGAAAATTAAACTGACTTTGAACTTTAAATTCAAGATGTAGTAATGTAGTTGAACTGTGTTTATACTTCATTATATTGCAATTTTGCAGTAGCAAATATTTTTACTGCAGTTATTCTTTATAGCCTGCTGCTATTGTTCAGTTGTACTGCAGTTTTACATCAATATGCTGTTATTTTATTAAGTGTAAGGGTTTGTTATATTGGTTTGTAAAGTATGAAATGTAAAAGTAACACCAATAGCACCAAGATGTTGAGGTTTACAATAATACATGTAATGATTATGTGGATAAACGTGACTTTTCTGTAGCCTGTTAAAGTGAAGATTAAATTAAAGTTATAAATGTCAAATAATAGCCTAGTATTTTAGGCCACATACTGTACAGTATATGCACTGTAAAATACAAAAAATGCTCATTTTAATTATTATATTTATTTTCTAAAATATTTATGATGTATGCTATTATATAATTTTTCTCCTAGTGACTAATCACACATATTTACTTGTGTATGCATGTTATTACCTGTAAACATTTTTTCTAATCAATCTTTACAGTTGCAATGTGAAGTCAACAAAAAGTTAACTAAACATCCCCGATAGCAGGTAGTAATCGGCCCGAGCTCGGCTGCCCTTCGCCGCCTCCGACTCGGCATCGGCGAGTGTTATCCGGGCCGAGTGCGGCCCGCAGCTCGCTTGCGCACATGCGGTTGTGATGCGGCTTTAAAGCACTGGCCCGATTCCAGTCAACCATATCCCGAGTCTGTCTGTAGAGCCCGGGCCGCTTCTGGCAAGTACTCGGCTGATGGCAACCAATTAAATTCTTATTTTATCTAGTAATATGTTAGCTCCACGTTTAATGATAATTTGAGAAAATATTCATGGTAGGACAGCAACAAAATAATAAGAATATTTAGTGTGGATGGTCGCAATTGTTTAGACGCAAACAAAACAATGCTATTTATAAATGGATTATAGATATAATCTAGAGAAAAACGTTGTAAAATGCGCCGATTTTCAAGACGGCACGCTCCTGTGCCGACTGTTTTTTTAAAGAAGTTGGTTTCATAAGAAACACATGCGTGAGTAGACGAGATATATCCAGCTGCAGAACATTGGAGTAAACTTTTGATCCAAACTCCAATCCAGGCGGTGGCGGTAATGCTCCAAAAAGCTGGTTGCCGACTGCTA